TTTTTTTTTTAAACAAACAATCTATGAATTTGACAATTAATATCATCCAAAAATGGAACATATCCTCGTTTTGTTTTTTTGTTTTTGTTTTTGTTTTTTTAACAAATCTGAATGTTTGCACTAGAGAGGCTCTTCAGGGAGGAAGGAGAATATTTTCTGTATTGTGAACTTATTGTCAAAAATACTACAATATTGTACTACACTTTGTATCTTCCTCTCCCTCCAATTTTCATATTTTTAAATCATTCATTTGATGGGCAGAAAGTGGGGTAGCCATTTTCATTTTGTGTGCACTGAACCGTGGAGATCCTTTTTAAATCTGTGTTTCCTCGTTCAATTCCATCACTAGACTGCTGCTCTCCATGAGCTGTCTCTCATGTGAATCAATTAAGCTGTTGGTCATGTTTACAATTCATGTTAAAGACAGAAGTTTGTCTGGCACTGTACTGTACAATTCCAGCACCAGAAGCACTTCTGGAAAAATGCCAGTCAAATCCATTCACCTACAGTAGGCCTATGTTCTATAAAACATTATGATGTGTTGTCCAAAGTATAGTAGGACTACTGACAATTAGTACTTAATATCTAATCTATTTCGATAGTTTATCATGAACTGTCCACATTCTAATGTTTAGAAGAATGTATCAATGTGCCTTCAAGTGCAGGTCTGATTGTTTTTTATCAGAAATATCAAACACCAGACATTGAGATCATGATTAATTTACAATCTGTAGGTTCTTGTTATTTCCGTTTCTAAATATAGGATTTAATATGACATTTGGATTCTGTTCAAGTGTCTGCAAGAATAGAAACTTTATCAATTCGTTGTTTGGTATCAAACATTAAATTCTTTTACAGTTAGGTATGAACTACCTATGTATTACTGATTATTTAAGACAAGGATTGAGTCAGTGAGAAATTTGATTAATGAATCAATTAATTTGTTTCCTTCCATCCAAATCCTAGATTTAAAAATATGCAATAATTATTTTTATGAACATCACTATACACTGATTTTTTTTTAATGTGTACTGTAGTATACATTTCTCAAGTTGATTGGTATCTTGAATTTTTTTTTAAATTGCTGCGAAGCAGCCAATTCATATTCTTGACAGCAATTTGACCTCTGAAAGGTCATTGTTTGTCAAAAAACAAGGGCCTATGGATGACTGAAAAGCGGAGTTTCCTTCTTTCGTTCTGCCGGGTAAAATCAATTACTTTAGGCGACGTTTGTAGACTAATCAACACGTACAGTACCAACGTCGGCATGTCGCGCTAGCCTTATCCTACTCTAGGCCTAGACCAGCTAGGATGGTATAGGCCTAGCCTTGAAGGGACAAAGGTCCCAATGAAAAACAACGTCGCTCCTTGATAGCTAACTTTGTCTATTTAACATCACAATAATTCATTATTAGACCTATAGTTGTTTTTTGAATTGTACTCCACAAATCTCAGCCAATACCTCGCACAACTCGAGTAACGTCTTGTATCTATTGTCGTGACATCATGGCTCGCTGGCTCACACTTGCGATGTCTCGCACTTGTGATCAAATAACACGCTGGCTCGCACTTTGGCAACACTCTTTGGCTGTCAACTCGCCCCTAGAAAACCTGCCTTTGGAAACTTGCCCCATAAAAAAATGTACACCTCCTAGACCATGCAGTCTTCAAAATAAAAATTGTAACCTTTGGTAATCAACTACATTTTCCACATACATGGCCCCCTGAGAGTATTTTAGTGTGATTTACACCAAGCTAACCATACTATTAAGTCAGAAGAATTGTTTCCAGTGGGCTCCTTCTGGTGATGAATTGGGCAGCACACCAGGTGACAATCCCAAACTATTTCCTGAAGAGTGTACTGCGTTCTTAAACGTGCACATCAGTTATATTGCACAAAGGACCAACAGCTGTCGACTTTCTTAACTTGTATTTCAGCCCTCCAGCTGAAAGATAGTGGACAGAGATGTGTATAAGAGACAGCCCTTATGGTGGTCATGGAGGAAAACAGCTGATCCACAGGGCTGATCCAACCAGCTGGCCCATCTGGTCTCTCAGTTGTAGTATATATATGATACAATAGGAAGGCATACATTTTATGACTAAGTTTTACTGTAGTTCTAAGATGGTAATTAGCACAATGATGCTGTATGAGTATGGCAACTCCGAAAAATGACAGGACGTGAGGCAATAATTGATTCTACTTGATGCTGCAAGTTATGATTATTCTCTTACATTCTTTACCTTTATACTGTGTGTATTCTGGGACAATTTGATGTTATTGCTCAAGGCATGCGTGCATGCATTTATTTTCATGATGTTGAGATGTTGTTGAGTTTATCTTAGACTCAATACTGAAACTTCAGATAATACTGTAACTATTCTACAACACTAAACAGTGCTTGAGGAATGAGATCAAAGAAGGAATTTCGCAGATAAGAATCTTTTTGTTGCATAATCTGAACTCCCCACTTACAACATCTGTAGTTTCATATTTTAATAATACATTTTTTTTTTAAACATGCAAAGATACAATTACAATAACTCATATTTTTATTTGTACAGTAATTAGTCGGTAATGATAAATGGTGCAAAATAAATCTTCGCTTGTATCTCCGAACATAGATAAAAGTATTCATTCTCTGCAAGTGTGTGAGCGATGGGAAAATCGAAGACGGTATTCTGTAGATACAAATCTTTTTGATTCATAATTACAACTGCCCACTTTGTCGGCTTCCAGCAAAGGGCATTAAATCGGCACCAGTACAGCTTTATCCAAGTGTACTAAATAACAGTCATAGTTTTGAATGAATTATCCGCCAGTGCGTGATATAATCTTGTTGGATTTGATTTGTATCTCCATACAATTCAACACCCAGTAGAAAAGAATTTAAAGGATAATGTTAACTTTGTAATTGGAATCTAAATTCTTACAAAAGTTTATAGTGACGATAGCTTTAATTCCCCTTAATAGTTGACATCGTTTACTTTATAGCCAATAAATGCTTCAATATGACCTAATATTTATTTGGTTTTCTTTATTTGTGTTCACTCTCTGCAAATTAATTAAATTTTTGCGAGCAATACAGTTGTTAACAAATCTATATCCCTTCTGAAACAAGTTCCTTTGCCTTTTTAATTGGTTGTTGCGTTTGTGATTTTTGTCTTTTGTATTTCTGTACTGTTAGTGGAGATATTGAAATATAAGAAAAAAATATATAAAATTATTCTGCACTGCTAATACTTTATTCCTCTTAATTCAACTTGGAAATTTGGCCCCCTGAGAGTATTTTAGTGTGATTTACACCAAGCTAACCATACTATTAAGTCAGAAGAATTGTTTCCAGTGGGCTCCTTCTGGTGATGAATTGGGCAGCACACCAGGTGACAATCCCAAACTATTTCCTGAAGAGTGTACTGCGTTCTTAAACGTGCACATCAGTTATATTGCACAAAGGACCAACAGCTGTCGACTTTCTTAACTTGTATTTCAGCCCTCCAGCTGAAAGATAGTGGACAGTCTTGAACAAATGACCAAAGATTTGATAGAATCTCCATGCCAACTGAGCCAATGACACCTGACCAGCCAACATGTAAACCAGCGCTGATGTAACAGTAGGCAATACATATTGTACGGATGTAAACATTGCCTTTAACCCACCTTAAATTCTCTATCAGAGTTAATCGAAAAGCTGAGAATGTTTAGACCCAAATTTAAATCACAAATTCCTAGAGTCTAGGAACTCGTGTCCATATCTAAAGAGACAAGACAAAGAAAAAAGAAAGTGGTACAGGCCATTGTGATTCTTTGCTTCAAACTTTATTCAATTATCATTCAGGAATGAGTGAGTGGGTTTTTTTTTTTTTAATTATTGGTCAAAAATGTAAGTCATGCTTTAACAAGTCCAAGATTAAAGATTGAATTCGAATAAAGCAGCTTAGCCATCAAGTTAAGACTCAAGGTTGCATTATCTATCAGTATTGAGGCTTCCTGTAGTTTATTTGTAATGAGACTATTATAGTATTGTATAATGTAATGGTCTGAGCACAATGACGGAATATACAATAGCAAGTAAAGCCCATTGTCTTTGCGTTTTCTTTGACATTCCAACCCATCTTGTAAGCTTTATCTTTTCATAGATATTGTACTCTTTCAAAAGAGTTGCTTTTTTATGTTAGTTTTGCGCGCGACTTTCTTCCGGTCTCCGGTCTATATATTTACAGGAAGATATAAATAATATAAAAGAAACGATGCTTTCTTCAGTTATAAAATATGAGATTACTGTTGAAATGAAAAATAATAGGAACTTTTTGTCTCTGGTGGTGAAGCCCTGTGTTATAAATAGGTACTGGCAGTTTCAAAAACCAATGCAATGATTTCTAGCCTAACATTAAGAATTACAGTACTTCTTAAAAGAAAATTTATAGACATTGGTATTTAGATCTAAGTTCTTGCATAAGATTGGGAGGCATTTATCTATTTACTGTACTGTTAAGCATTTAGACTTATTCTAAAAGACTGCGATTTGTAATTATGATGCTAGAGTGAGCAATAACTTGCATGATGAGCACTAACAGTAAGAAGCTATCATGCACCTGATTATGATGAATACTACTTTTGAAATGACTGAAGTGTCCATTGAAATCGTCTTAACTTCCGCCGGGTGTTATTTTCTATTATTTGCACTCATTCGTCTAGGAAATGAATTCGGAATACATTTGTCATAATCGAGATGCAGACAATAATCAATTTCACACATTGACAATGTTGATGATTGCATCCAAGTGGAAGAAGGGATGCTTCCAACTAACTTTCTTATTGTTAATTATCAGATTGTCTGCCAATATAAATATATGGCCCACAGGTAGTCGTGATGTCAGCCCGGGAGAAAACCTATATTAAGTGTTTATAATATTTTTTGATATGAAATTAATATTGCGTACAGTATTTACTTCAAAGTATTTCATTAAAAAATATCCAATATATTTTTTCTCTCCAGGGGGCGCTTTGCTGTGGTTCGGAAGTTTCAGCATAAGAAGACACAGAAATTCTATGCTGCAAAATTTATTCGAAAACGGAAGAAAGGAAAGGATTGCAGCGTAGACATCATCAAAGAGATCCAGATTCTAGAACTGACCAATGACCATCCTCGACTCATCGACCTATATGAGGTGTATGAGACTCAACATGAGGTCATACTAGTCTTAGAGTTGTAAGTCTTTGAACTTGAATATTTAGTGGCATATCTAAAAGTCTTGAAATAGGGAGAGGGGGCGCTGATGAGAGTGCAAAGGTAAAGTGGGGGGCTTGGTGAGGGGGTGCTAGCTCGTGAAATATGGTGATTTGTGGTGATTTCTAACTACTTGAGTTTGATTTTTTTTTTTTTGAGTGGAGGAAGTATATGCCAACTGCCTATTTTGTTGTTTAAATCTTCAGTTTCTCTGAATACTTCAAAAGTAAATGAACAATTCTGTATTCATTACATTCAAGAGAGTATAACACTTCTTTTATAAAGTGGCGAATTATACAGTAGCTACATCCCTACTTATTATTATTATAATTATTATTATTATTATTATTATTGTTATTATTATTATTAATATAAAATCATAACATTCAGTGTTATTCCCTTCCCTACAGTAGCATATGTTTTGTACTCCTATGGACAGAAAGTGATTTATAGGCTATATAATGGCTGCATTATGACTACTATAGTTTGGTATTGATATTATTCTTAAATTGACTGTAGCATAGCGTGTCATTACATTATATGATTGGCTAATCTTTAACGATGGCTGGGATTTCTACACATAATCTAAACCGATCCACTAATATTAAGTCTTAATAATGAAAATGCCCCCAAAAAATGTGATTTATACAGTCTACCTGTCCTCAAACAACACTGATGAGAAAAATTGAAAACAGTGCTCAGAGATAGGACAACAAATCACAATCATTATTAATCATCCATAAAGTAACTGAAGAAACTAATTATGGAATACCAGCTATTGTACAAGCTAAGGAGCAAGCATCAACTCTCCATTTAGCAGATGTTCGATTGGTATAATTTAAACATTAATTATTTGGCGAGGAAAGTTTCTTTTCAACTGAAACTTATTTTTCAAGTTTATTTTAAATTATTTAATGTATAGTTGGCGACTATAGGTGGCGGTGTGTTAGTTTTTATAATATGCCTGTCTATAGAGTAATACATAATATTGGCAAATGGGAATTGAATGAATTCACAAATGCGATCGTTACTATCATAAAGAAATGAAAAATTCTTTGATGTTCTATTCTTGGCCCACTCTACTGTCTCATTTCCTACAGAGATTCCTTGTGTTTCTTAAGAGCTTTGTGCTTTGCGGTAGTTTAACAAGCATTTGTGGTTTTTTGTTTTTTGTTTTTCTTTCTAAAATTAAATGAAATATCTGCTAAGTCTTCAATCATAAGTTATCACAGAAGTTAAGACATTTAAGTTGGTTTTTTAATGTTGAATCCCTGCTGACTAGTAGCGCACAGAGTTGTAAACTGTTGTCTGGGGACTCGCTAGGAAATTCTGATGATTATGCCTGCTTACACACATCCTGGCTAATTTCTTTGTTCTCTTTTAATGATTTATACATATTACTACAAAATCGTAATATTTTTTAGTGATTTTCTTAAAAGCACGTACTTTACTTTTCCTGTGTGTTTTAAATGGAGCATTTTTCAGCACTGTATTTTTTCTATTTTGAATTTCAATTAAAAAAATACATTGATCCTTTTTCACAATATGTGAAAGATCTGTCTTAATTTTGTTTATATTTATAAATAAAATTTATTCAAATTAAAATATTGAATAATCTGTACCAACAGAAGTATTGGTAATTTATTCATAATTTTTCCTTTTGGTTCTGGTGCTTACAATTACATACGTAATGAGAAGGTATTAAGGTAATGCCAAAGTACTGGTTTCACTTAGGCCAACCTGAATGCAATTTGCGATAAATTTAGAAACCGCATTAATCATTTATTCATCCCTACTGTAGTGTTGTAATCTTGTTTACTGCATTTATCCCTGATGCTTTAAATTTACATGAATTAGCCACACAGTTTACATCCATTTCCATCCTAATGAATGCAGTCGCAATACTTAAAGCACGTCGCTCACAAACGTAAAACCACCGCGTGCCGTGAACCCTGGAGATTGCTGCATTCTGGGTTCTGTTCCATTAAACTACTTTCATTGTGAAATACAGCTTCTCACAGTCAAAACAGAAAATTTAAAATCTGTTCTGTGTAATCATGATGCAGATTATAGAATGCACTATTCTAAAATAGTAGGGAATTGTCTCTCGGTGAACTGCCCTATTCATCACTAGGGGCGCTACACTGCGGCTGCCTTGTGTATCCAGGGACCTACAGCATAGATATCCTTGTTTAATTCGGACTGGTCAGAGAGATAATTTATTGGACTGAGCTGGTATAAAATGAAGCCCTTTTCAGCTGATACATGACTTACAAGTGCTCACATACACGTACATGCATAGTTGTATCTACTGCAGGCCTTGTCTAGGCCTATAACATGGGTCTTCATTCATTTTTATGAGGAAGTTTGTAATTCTGCAAGATTTAATGATTGGTTTTTTTAAAGTAAAACGAGAATGTGCATCAAAAAATTGCATACACATTAAGACAAGTTAAGAAAGATACTTTTATTGGCCTGGTATCATTTGATTTTGTTAACCCAAGAGTACAAACAACTTAACCATAAGCAATCAATGATGTAAGAAATTGGGTGGAGTATGAGATCATAAACAGTCAACAATGTGTGCAAATTTTTCTGGCCCTCATTTCCACTGGAGTGTACTCAGCTGTGAAGCATGCAGGCGCCAAGATTGTACCAAGTACATGCGATGCGTCCCACATGGTGACAAAAAGGACTGCCCTCCTATTATCCTAGATTATTATTGCTGTAAGAATTGCCTTCGCTTTTATAAGGTTTCTGTCATTCAACAGGTAGAGTTTTCGGTTCTTTTTGTCCTCCAAACTTCCTTTGTGACTTTGTCTGGTGCATCCTTGATTTTGTTTGGGAGACGGTGAATAGCAACTCAACTCTATTGAACAATGTATCTGTAACTTTTATTCATTAACTTCTAGTAAGATTTTTACTGAAATGAATTTCTAAATATTTAAGTTTTCATTTCTACTGATAAATATAATTATTTTATTTAATAATTATTATTTTATTTTATTACTGTTATTTTATCTTTTTTTTCCTCATTTTAAATTTTTTTTCTTTTCAGAATCATTATCTTACTTTTCATACTTTTTAGTTTATATCCATAATTTACTAACTGTAATGTAATGTAAGGTAACGTTCATTCAAGTTGAATTTATCATGTTGTAAAGTACTGTAAAGAAGTTTTCAATTTGTTAAATAATCTTGGCAGAAGATAAAATAATCAAAGAAAAAAAAGATCATACTTTTAAATGTTTATAACTGCAGTGGTAATCGTTAGTATTTGAACAGTATGAATTCTAATAGTAAAATGTATGATCTCGACTTAATTTCTTGTCCAAGGATCAATCACTTTTAATGTCTTGTGTGTTTTTATTAATTTCATTGTAGCGCTGGTGGCGGAGAAATCCATCCTTACTGTGTGGCTGACAAGGGAGAAGCCTTCACAGAGAATGACGTGCGTCGCCTTGTCAGACAGATCCTTGAGGGTGTTCAGTTCTTGCACGACCAGAATATAGTTCATCTTGACCTCAAGGTATAACAGTGTTACTGGTGATGTAAATATTCTTAATAATATCAAACAAAAACTTACAATATTTGGCACCATTTCTGGCACACTAGAGCAATGGACTCTGCCACCGTATAAGTCAAACTTCAAATCTGACCTGTCAGATCAAGACCAGGATCATTCACCTGTCTCACAAACACACATGTTTATGTACAGTATTGTAAGCTTGTAGAATAGTATGGTGCAGTATCATTTTGTGGGGCCTTACTATAGTGTAGCATCAATTTTTTAGGGGTGGGGATGATGGTTCGGTTAGATAGGTTGATGCGAAAGGAAGCAACGCTAAGAGGCGTTATAATATTGATTGTCTTGGAGTCAAAGAAAACAATTTTTTTTTTTGCCAGATGAATCAGTTTTAATGTTTTTCTAAGTCAAAAAAGTCTTATTCTCTAGTCCTATTTGAAGTAGGGGAGTAGAAACAGGGCCAGTTCATAGTCTACGTTACCTCTTTTCATCCAACAACTAACATCCTACACACATGTAATGTGATGACAAACAAATTATGAAATTCAACTTTTGAACTCTTCCTATGAATTATCAAAAATTATATTACTCTTACATTCCCTGATGAGCAGATTTTTTACCATAAAATGCAATATATGATGAAAGAATTTTCTCCAAAGCTTGAGGGATTGAAGTGATTTAAGTGTGTAGTGAGTTGTTGATGGAGTTCAAATGTGTTTTTTAGCTAGTAACTGACCCATAAGGTCAAATATCAACTATTGCTCAAATAAATATATATTTCCATTTTGTGTTTTCACTTTAATAAATAATTTAAAAGGAGGACTGTATTTAAGTCTAGGAAATATATCACTGTAACCTGAACATGACTGGGCATGTCATGTTTTATTTCTTTAAACAGGTACAGACGTTAAGTGGTAATAAAAATGTTGATGCATTTTACAGGTGTTCCGAGACCTATATTTTATGCTAGAAATCAAACTTTTTTGCTGTTAATAGCAGACTCCAAAATTTAAACTAATTAAGACCTACACATTGAGTAAAAGGAACATATAATTCTAGTTATTGTAAATACAATTTATATGGTGACTACAATTTAGTAAAACAAAATAAAAGTATACTTTTACAGTAGCTTCTCAAGTATAAGCCCACCTCAATTATATAAAGCCATCCCCTTACAATTTCACATATCACCATTTCCCTATACTGTACCTGACTTTAATACAAATGCATACTTTCAGAAAACAAGCAAAGATAGGCATGGAAGTGCACACACAGTAATTTACAAAATTTCCTTTTCCTTTGGACATCCGTAAAAATGATAGAACATGCTATCAGTTTTGTGAAAAGGGAAATCCCCAGGTACAAGCCCATCCTCCACAATCGACTTAATTAAGTGTTGAAGTATGCAGATTGCGTGCACACTGCGAGGCAAACATGAACTTTGTAGGTAGTGCAAGATTTTTACCAAGATGAAGATGAAGTTAATAGGAAAGAAAGATAGTCTTCATTACCAGCGTGCCTCAACCATTTATATATATGACTAGAACACATTCAGTAACAAACTAAAAATAGGTTGGGAAGTTTTTTTCTCATCAGATGAGCATGAACCCCTCTAGTTGAATGGCACTTGAGTATGTTGGAATAAAAATATTTATTTTGCCGATTCAATCTAACTTATTGTGATTGCGGTTTTTCATATTGTAGTTATTAATTTTTCTCATCATAATCATAACATCTTTCCCTTATACTCAGGTACTCTGACCAATGGGCCCTTGATCTAGCCTTTTGATTCATACCCCAGTCAGACCTATTAGACCACTTGTATGTAAAATTCTAGAGCCCCCATTTGTCTCATCTCATTGGCTACTTCACTTATTAATATTATATCACTGATATTTGACTTGCCCTGGACGCCTGCTGCATACAAAATACCAAATTTGCAAGTCATGATTTATGGTATCGATTGACTAAGCATTGGAATGTTTTTATGACTTGTAAAGTCATAGTAACAAGAATGCATTTTGTTTATTTTTTTATGTTTTGCCTGTGCATGCAGTAGCTGCTCTCTGGATTACTCAGAAAATAAATAAATTCCATTCTTTACAACAATAATAGAAAATGTTAAGGGTTAGAATTTTGACAGATGTACTGTATTCATTTAGAAAAGGTCAATTTTGACTAAAGTACAGTATTAATGTTATACTTTAATAATGACTTTAACAAGTGGACTCCCACACTATTCATAACAACCATGCAAGTAATTTGTGTTTGTATTTTATTATTTCATCTCACCTGTGTTCATCCTCTGCTATAAAGCTCCTTATCCAGAATCCATCGATATAAAAAAGAATCAGATGCTGATGATCAGATACTGATACTTATAATTCTTTATTAGGCAAGACTTTTTATACCTTGTTTAGCGAACCCGCCGACTGCAAATTTTGATGATTTCGAATAAATATAAAATTTTATTTTTGGCTAATTACCGAACCCGCTGCCACAAAAAATTGGAAATTTCAGGAAAAAAATAAAAGTTTTTCTTTATTTTTATTACACCCTCCGCTGCCTTGAAATTTCCAAAGTTAAGATATGTATATTTCTTTCTAATTGTATAAATTTGAAACATTTGACCATCCTATTTTATATTCACCAGAAAAAGTTTATTTTTATTTTCTCCTCCGATGATCCTTAAAAAAATATGTACACGAAATAAGTCTTGCCTTATCATAAGAAAAAAAAAACATTTTATGAAAAATTACATTCCATTATTATTACATTATCATAAAACTTTGAAGATAAAAAAGATTAAAATATTTAAAATGGGCTAAAACAGCATTAAAACTTCAGTATCTAAAGCAAGACGTGTTAAAAACCTACACAGCAACAATGGAAAATCATTAGTTTGGTTATATACAGTATTTGAATGTTGTTTGAAACAAATTGGTAGCTAGTTCATTTTCTGTGCCATTTAAAAAGAAGCATGAGAAAAACTTCACAATCAGTAATGCAAGCCATCATGATTCAATATTTTTAACTTAAATTCACTTATCTCGAAAATAAATTTTGAACACGATGGCTTACATCACATGCTTTGGAGTTTGACTCGCGTCAAACTTATCGGAGGACACCATATTTATTAGTGGGTGTACAGTATTAGTAATAGTCCTTCCTGAATCACTGTACAACGTTTTCCAACCCTTTATCACTTCCTTCCCAACATTGCTAATTGATTTGTGACTTGCTGTTAAAATGGCATATTGTCAATTCGCCTAATACTACCTGTACACACAGAAACCAGACAATACATTACAATATGGAGGTACATTTACAATTTTGTGTTTGCTATTGGTATTTTCTAAAAATTTTATTTTCTTTTTAAGAGGAAGTAGATATGTTATTTAGTAATTTCTTTTCCTGATTTTATCATATTTTCCATTGGATTTTATTTCTCTTTAAACAAAAGCACTGTTTAACAAAACCAACATATATTGGAATGATACCTCTCTTTTTTTTTCTGTTTGATTACTTTACAATTTAGTTACTAAAGAAATTATGGTCGTGCCACAACTTGTATACAGATGGATCCAGCATTGATATACTGGCTGTTAAGCTAATAAACTTGATTGTTTTGTGTATGCATTTCATATCACGATCCTTTGCATACTTATTAGTCAGCATTAAATAGTGTCAGTGCTTATGCTGCAACAGTGTGTATCAGAAGCAGTTTACATTTTGAGTGTTGATGCTTACCATCAAATCCCAGGTCCTGGGTTCAAATCCTGTGACACATCAATGATTCCTTTTTTAATATGACTAAAAACTTAGTAAAGTCAGTTTACTTCCTTATGTATAATGTCATTTTAAAATCATTTTGCAGGATTTCAAGGGCACGCTATTCTTAAAGAGACATTTAGTTAAATAAAGCATCAGGGACACAAATAGTGGTTATGCTGATTGGATCATCCTTGTTAATATGGCTATGGTATATAAAATCATTGAAGGATGAACAATGTATATTATTAGTGCATGTTTTTAAATTAGAAACCCATTAAATATTCACACCTAGCACTGGGATGTAGAGACAAGCTTAAACAACTTCACAATCCTCAACAGAGCAAGCTGAGGTGTCTTAAAGCTTGACTGGTCAAGAATGGTCAGCATGTGGCTCAAATTAACAATTAACAGCTAACGGTGTTAAGAAGCTGAATGGAAACTGTTGCTGCAAACTGCATCTGGTTTGCGAAATGAGGCTTAAAAAATTCTTGCTTAAACTAAAATACTGTAGTCATCAGTCTACCAACCAGCTACGAGACAAACCATTTCCTTCATATCCATTTTTAGCTCTAAATATCTCGCAAGAATTTTGATTGAGAATGTTATTCAGTATATTTTGTTTTTGAATTGTTAGTATAAGCAAAAGGAGCCCCAACTGAGTAATTGAAGTTCACCAGATAGACTAATAACCTCACCTGCTAGGCATTTAGTCTCCATTCTACCACTGAACTTTGATCCGAAACACCTTCCCTGGATGGAGGATATCAAGAATTTCTTCCTTTTTAAGTATTGACTGTTTTACCCCCAAGGTATTTAATCCTTGTCATTTAAAATTACTGTATTTCAAATAACACAGTACTGTATGTATCATGTTTGGCATGATTTCCCTAATTTGTTTGATTTTAATTTGATTAGAAATTTTAGGGAAAGAATGAATTTTTGTGATTTATTGGAAGATGAGTGTATACATGTGAATAGATTTTGGTGTAATGTAACCAATCCATAGATATTTACCTGACAACTGCAGACTTCCGTCTATCAGTATTCTACTGTACTTCATGAAGATCAAAATGGGGTCGGAAACAGAGTGTAATTGTCAAATTAATTCTATGCTATTTCTCATAGTTTTTTTTGTGTAACAGTGCCATCAGCGTTGTCAATAGGACACGTCGGCTTGCCTGTGAAGATGAGACTAGTTGGCTGTAGACAGTCTGCCCTTTACAAACCAG